ACCTTTATCAATTAAGTTTGCTGTCTTATGTGGGCATAGTTCATGGTGCCTTAAAACAATTACAATAGTAGCATAAAAAATCACTGATCACAGATTACCATAACAAATGCAATAATAATTAACATTTGAAATACTGTGAGAATTACCAAAATGTGACACAGAGACATGAAGTGAGCAAATGCTGTAGGAGAAACGGCACCAGAAGATTTCCACAATGGAGTTCCTTGCCACAAATCTTCAATTTGTAAAAGATGCACTTACATGAAGGGCAATAAAGCAACGTATGCCTGCTATTACCTTAGTAAGAGGAGGCCTTGGCTCATTTGAGCTAGAAGTGAGACCTTAAAGAATGAACAGAAGAGCTGGAAAGCAAGGATTCTCTGAGAATTGAATTGAATGAAGTATAGGCTCTAGCTTTGGAGAGTACCTTGACCCCTTTTGTGGCAAGGGAAAGTCAGCAGTACTGGGACAGTTCTACAGGGTCCAGAGTGAGGCTTTAATATCCGGGTGTATTGAGTTTGTGGAACTGGCCTGAGAAACATGAGGGTTTGAAGTGAAGGGACATCAGAGTGGTTGGGCTAGTGAGACAAAGTGAGAGACTATACATAAATGAATCAAGATGTTGTGTAAGGATGTAATTTTTAAGTTAGGGTAGTTTGAACATGTTTATATACTGAGGAACAAACAGTGGAGAGGAAGAAGGAAAGGAGGAGACAACTGAATGGAGCAAGATGTCCAAGAGGCAAGAGGGAAACAATGGGATTAAAATCATCAGTGAATAGATTAACCTTGGAATTTAAGAATTCGTCTTCACATTTGGATCCTTGAATACACCCATCTGTAGACCTTTCAGTTACCTGAGTGAAAGTAATCCTTTCCTCTTAAGCCCATGTAGGTTGACATCCAATTGCTTATGAGGAGTCTTGACAAATACAAACAGTGAAAAAAATGTTCTTTTTAAGATGTAAGGACGGATGCAGGCGAAGTGGAAATTATGAGACTTTTAGAAGTTATATCATCCTTTCTGATGACTAAACTATCTCTCTGAATTAAGAAGCAAGGTCATCCACTGAAAACTACAGGTGACTCAGGCTTGGATTTCAGGCTTGAAGAAAGTTGTGATTATTTAATATTGAAAAGGAAAGGAATAGAAAATAGTATGAAATGAGATTACATTGCAATGCTTAGACTGTGCAATCTGATTTGATGAAATTTAACTAACTATAGAAGGTATTGTCAAATTTTCAATTTACTAGAAAGTATTCTCAGAAAAATAAGTTTAATAAGTTTTATGTTAATTTTCATATCATTTGGTTCTTGAATTGGGAATATATATATACTTATTCTAGATGAACTATTCAAACTTGAAAAAGTAGACATGATCTGGTATTACTGATAATTGCACACATCAAGTATTAATTAGATAAATCATGTTAGAAGATCTTCCTGTTAGAAAGGCTAAAAAATGGATATCTCCAAAATATTTTCCCAATGCTTATATTAATTCCCCTCTCTCTATTCCTTTTAATTAAGAATAAATAATAAATGCAATTTATCAGTGTCTTAAAGTGTTCCTTATTAGCCTTGATTTCATACAAATCAATTACGAATAATCTGTTTTTAAACAAAAAGCATTGTTTTTCACAGCGTATCTGAAGGATGATAGACACCCTTTTAGATGATGAGGAGAAATGTCTATTAAACTTTATATATGTACATGCATTATGTATATAAACATACATATAACATACCTGCCTATATACGTGTGTGTGTATACATACACACATACTAGGTTAAAAAGTATTAAACAGGACCTTTTTAAGTTAAAAGATTCCTGTGAGACTTTTAACACAGTGAGGTGAATTATAAATTTTCAGAAATGGCTGTAGCATGCAATATCCATTTGAAAATGAAAATTCCTTAACTTCTGCCTTTTTTCCCACCTTTGATCAAGTGACACTGAAGGTTCATGTGACATGCTTTGGGAAACTTTAGGCAAGGAGATCTTTAAATCACATTTTACTGCAACATATTCGACTGTACTCTATTGTATACTATTTTATTCATGTCTGATATTGTGACCATCCACTTCCTACCTCATTTTATTCACGCACACACAGACACACTTGCACACAGAATCAGGATAGTGTGAGATGCACTATTGTAGTTTGAAGCTGCAGGAAAAAGCTTACAACCTACAATTTAAATCTGTTAGTCTTTTTTATCACTTCTAATACTTGCACCATAAGCTTTTTTTAGACCACAAGACCATGTGGTTTAAATGTGAGAGGAATGTGTATATCTTAATCTACCTTTAAATTTCAGCATATACCTATTATGGGCATTTCTAATGAAACATTATTTGCTTAATTGCTTCATTTTATCTTTTCTTCTGCCATATTATTTAAAGCAGCTGATAGTCGGATCCATATATCAGAAGTCATTTTGAAGCTTCAACACTCACTAGCCTTATAATTAAGATATAATCAAGTTTACGTGCTTCTCATGGTTTCTTCAACTGCAAATTGATTGAAAGTATCACTTTTCATATAAATGTTGTGATGAATAGCACAGTACTTGTCACAGATGGAATACTTAATAAATATTAGCTTTTATTATAGTTTTAAAACTATCATAGTTTTGCTTTTAATGTGAGTCCTCTATGTTAACTTTGCTTTGTGCCACAATTTGAAATTGTATAAAAATTCATGGTAGAGGGGTGCCTGGGTGGCTCAGTGGGTTAAGCCTCTGCCCTCCACTCAAATCATGATCTCAGGGTCTGGGATCGAGCCCTGCATCAGGATCCCTGCTCAGCGGGGAGCGTGCTTTCCCCTCTCTTTCTCTGCCTGCCTCTCTCTACCTACTTGTGATCTCTGTCTGTAAAATAAATAAATAAAATCTTTAAAAAAAAAATTCATGGTAGAGGTGGCCTTATACCACCTTTATCAAGAAAAGATTTTTAGTCACACCTGCCAATATAACTTAAAATATAACTATTCCTTCTTATCACTAATAATTAGAACCATTCTAATAGGTCCTTCACAGTATTGCAAGAATTTTTTAGTTTACTTTTTATTCCCACCCAGAACTTTTACTGAACAGGGGATTTCACATGCATTTATGGAATGAGTATGCCATGCCCCACCCCCTTCCCCAGAGTCTCTAAATCAACTGCAGAACTCTATCAAGGTCATAAGATTTTCAGTAGTAGAGCTAGGAGATAATCTAGTTTGAAATAATTTCAGAGGCATTATGCTGCCCGTTTCATATTGTTTGTGTATTTTCTATAGTATTAAAGTTAAGAGTGGTACTAATCTAATATATACATTAAGTTACATGTTTAAAGCCTTTGAATTTTCTTTTAAATTCATGTCAATCCTTTCCTGAAAAGAGACATTTTAGTATATGGGTATATATTTTTTTTTGATTATAGTATCAGAACTAATTAACGATTATGTTTTTTCACAACTACTGTTTAAGTTATCATCATCTCCTTTCATATATATTTTGCAGATTAATAAGTGACAAGCTTTGCAAAGTGCCAAACACGGTACAATTCCCTAGCCTAGACTGAACACAAAAGTATTAAATTCATCATCCACTCAGTTCTGCTTGAATCAGTATTAGTATCAAAGTATATATTTTGCTCAAAGTTTTACCCTTTGCCCTTGATCTGATTTCAATTATACTTACTTAATATCCGCACATTCTAGAAACACCAGAATTTAGGAGATTTTCATCTTCAATTTTAAGACCTATTCCCCTTTACTAACAAACCCAGATGAGATGAATATTTCATTCTTTTGTTTGGATTATAATTTCTGCCCTTTAAGCAGAAAAAAAAGGTCTATTCATGACTGATATAAAGAACAATTCTAAGATGTACTTTTACTTAACGCAAAGCAGTTAGGGTATTAAAAGCGAGCAGTACATACTCTTTCAACATAAAAGTTAGGTTTTTTAGAATCTGCTTGTAAATAAACATGGCATTGATTTCAAGGTTTTGAACATACAAAAATTCACTGGGTTCCTTTTATGCTTTTATCTTCCTGTTAGTTATAAGAAAGAATGTGGGCGCTTTAAATCCTCTTGACATGTCTGTCACCAGCACAATAAACTCCCCTCCTGAGCAGAAGAGACCCTTGTCTGTCACTGGGATCTCTCCGGAGGTGATGATTGCCAAGTGGGTTTTCTGTCGACTTCCTAAAATGTAACCTCCTCATCCAGGCTGCCAGCTCTAGCATGACAGATTGGGTGGATGATTCCATCATCGCGTCACACTATGTTTTACCATTTGGGGCCAGATGTCATCTTTGGGGAAGAGAGTTAAAGCTTTTGTCAGAGTATTTCTCTTGTTTCACTTAACATCTACTCACCTTTTGGTATTGAAAGAATAAAAAATACAAACTGATAAGACTATCCCCAGGCAGAGTTTTCATGCTACCCAAAGCAGTCTCGGCAGTTATAAAGATCCTTCAATAATCTGTCAAAAACTGACATCACAGTGTAAAGAGCTGTTCATTTCTATATCTCATTTTGGATTGATGTACGTGCACTTTTATATCCTTCAGTTCGATATAACATTTGGCCTTTCATGTTCTCAGTTTAAGCTACAGGGAATTCAAAGCTATTTCAAAGCATAATTATACCAATCTGCATATAAAAGGCTCTATGTCCTACAGAGGGTTATATGGAAAAGCAAACTCTTTCAAAGAAGAAAATTAGAAGTAATTCCCACAACTAAAATTCACAAAAGTTAATACATTTTTCATCTGATGAGAACAGTTTTATTTTTTTTAAACCAATAGAAGATTAATCAAGAAAGTGTTGGGGACTTTTTTTGTGAGGTAGGGAGGAGGAGAGTAAGAAAGGAAAATTGGAGAGGACAGCAAAAACATGATGCAGGTACATTATACATATTTTTTGATTATACACATCACATCAGAAAAATCAATAATTCATATTGCTATGGCAGACAATAGGATTGCCAATTCCATATTGTATTAGTTATATGTTGCTGGAAAACACTATACTCCAAATTTGTATGATTCAAAACTCTTAGTGCACTTTAACTGGGAACCTCGGCCTAAGGTCTCCTTTGAGATCACACTCCAGCTGTTGGCAGAAGGTGTGGTCTCCTCTGAAGATGAAATTTGGGAAAGGGCGTCTGCTTCAGAGTTCATTCATGTGTTTGTTGAAGGGCCTCGATCTCGTGACACATGGGTCTCACCACAGAGCTGCCTCCACATCTCTGCAAGCAATTCAGAAGAGAATGAGAAAGTGTACAAGGAGAGTTCCAAGATGGAAAACATAACCTTTATATAATCTAACACCAAAACCAAATTCTGTTTCATAGAAGTGGGTTCCATAGCTCAACTACTTTCAGGAGAAGGGGGATACTCAAGAGTTCAATACCTGGAGGTGATCATCATTATGGGCCATCCTAGAGGCTGCCTACCCTACATATTACATTCATGTTAAGTTGCTTTTGGTATTTTGTTATATTACAGAAGACTTTTGAAAATGTAAGTCCTGTAGTTGTGGTTTTAAACTGAAAGTAATTGCCACTACACAAATTTATTTTTTCCAAATATCTGCTCTCCAAATATGCCTTTAGTAGTTTTCAAACATTTCATAACTAGAAAATGACAAGTACGGTTATTTTAAATCTTTAAAGTAACTCTTTGTTAATCTTTTTTTGTTTTTACCATGGCAAAAGAAATATTTAAAAAAAAAAAAAAACCTCACAAACATAATTGTGTAAATTCTGAAGCTAGCAAAATACTTAGCACAGAAGTTATGTAGCATATGGTTATCCTAGTCCCAAACAGTAAAATGTGTCTGTATGTGCCAGCTCTTAATTACCGGCTCATTAACACTCAGGTGTCAATTGCTGGTGGCAAAGGCAATACCCAAATGGCCTAGTTTCTGTCATGCACAGTGTAATTAAATTGACCTCAAGTACTAAAGCTTGCAAGTTGCCTGATACTTTTGGACACTAATTTCAGGCATTATTCAAAATAGAATAATATGGTGAATAAACTAATGTAAGAGAAAAGCACTATCAGGTTTCAAAATGTCTATTCATACATAATTATAATCTTAAAAACAATTGAATAAATAATCACAATTCTAATCTATATCAAATATAACAATGCATATCATCTACTTGGTTTTACTATTATCAATCTAAAGCTCAAGTTTAAAGTTTATCAATTTTAAAACTCAAAATAATGTTAAACTTGTTACAAACCAAAAGAAAAATAAATCATTGTAATAGTCACATTTGGGAAATAGAAATTGCGTATCATTTTTTATAATTTCATTTATTGATATATAAAGAGAAAATATGTATATCTTACATTTAAAATATTAATTCCCAAATGTAACCAAATGTGAAGCATATACGTGTCTTCTGTATGGTTCTAACAACAAAGAAATATGTACTTCTAGCAAGAATCCCACAAACTCTCCATAATCTAAGAGCCGATTTTTTCATGACTTTGTGTTGTAAGACAGCTCATTATGTGAAAGCTTATTTTTAAGCTTCCATTTAAAGAGAGAGAAGAGATGAATTCATGCACAAACCTTTGCTTTTCATAAAACCTCACATAAATGAAAAGAACATTTTCTGCAGAAAAGCCTACAAGAACAAGCAAAAGACAAAAAAACAAGTGAGCAAACAGTTATAACAACATTTTGGAAGTTTGGAAGTGGATCAGTAAGTTGCTATCAAAGTACTAGTTTTAAAAATATGTAATCTTGAGCTGGAAGTTAAGAGTATGAGGAAAGAAATCTGATTTATTCCACAGAATATTCCAAAGGCTAAGGAATTAATAGAACAAATTAGTTCTGAAGTAGGAGTGAATATAAAAATAAAGAGAAGGATCAAAAAATGTCATTGAGAAGCAATTAGACTCCAGGTTTCTTTCATCAACTATGCATATGTAGGTGATCAATTATCCTCTCTGGTTAGAAGACAGGAAATTTATTCTCTAAGGAGGTGAAAACAGAGGTGCCTACATTGGAAGACAGCAGGTACGGTTTAATGTGAGATCATCATACCCAGAAAACTTAGGCTCTTGGGTCTCCCAGACGTCTTTCCCCAATTAACTTTCAGAATGCAAGTACAAAGGCTTATACTTCCAGGCAGAAGATCTGAACACATTTCTCTGGATACCTCTAACTAGTCTAAGAAGAAAAATATACCAAACATATTGACTTTGGGTTTTCCTTAATTACATGATCCAGCAAGATCACCCTATAGACAAACATACTCAACAAGCTTTCCACACAAGGGCAGAGTTTACCTTCAGCCTTTTAGAGTATCATTTTTAATTATGGACACACAGCTAAGCATCACCAGACACTGGCAAAAAAAAAAAAAAAATCTCTACTTTAGATTCCTGGAAAGAGACACTATTGCAAGAAAATAAAATGTAATATAAGCTATCATTAATCTCTTCAGGTGAATAAGGGAAAATATTGTATACATGAAAAGAGTTCAAAATACCTTTAGAGAGGAATATTGAGAAAACATTAAAAAAAACTCCTAGTCTTAATAATAATATAATGAAATAAAAAGCTCAGTAGAAGTTTGAAAGATAAAGATAAGAACATCTCTGAGAAAGTAGATTAAAAAACTGTAGAAAGTAGGAAAGAAAAAGTGAAGAAAATTGGTAGGTCAGTAGAGGAGGTTCAATATCTAAATGTTAAGGGATTTAAAAAAAGATGAAAAGAAGTAAGGGAAGAAATGATGAAAGCAATAATTCAAGAAAATTTCCAAAAACTGAAAGGTTGGGTGTAAAGACTGAAAGAGTGTACTAAGTATCTGAAATTCAGATGGAAACAGATCTACATCAAATCATGTGATAACTATGAAATTTCAGAACTTGATGACAAAGAGACCCTCCCATACGTTTCCATAGGAGCTGGGGGACCTACGCTCATAAAAAGTTTAGTTTTTACTTTGGAAAATGTTCTACTTTGGAAGGCAATGCAGGAAACCTCTCAAAGAACTTAAGCTTAATATCTGACAAATTTGGCTTGAAGCAAGCCTAACCAAGACTTAAATTGTTCAAGATTTTGGTCCTCTCCAACAGCATACCACTCACTCTTATGGTATAAACAAAATTAAGCCCAATGTATGTGTTGCCTTGACATCTGGCACAACAAGGAAGACTTCAAATAACCTAACTCCCAAGTTTCTCACTCCATTCTGCTCCCAAAGATAAGATCCCTTAACCAAACAACCTTATTTATCAGGGGTACCGTTTGAAGGTGGGTGTCAGTTCCTTGCTCACTTATAGAACAAGCCAATTCAAACAAGCCAATCCTATCTCACCAGAACCAAGGAATGCCTCCCCACTGATACTACAAAGCATACCTCCTGCAGCCCCTGGCTATTCACTCTGTTACTAAATGCAATCCCTTATGGCCATGCGCAGCATCCTTCCTGCCCAAGGCTGTGACTAGTAAATTGTTGTTGGTTTCTTCTGTCCAGTATTAGGTGCTACATATTTTCCAACCCCATAACTTTAGGACAGAAATTTCTCCCTCACCAAAGGGATGGTGAAGAGGTAAGTAAAACAACTCTTTACATGATGATACAACCATGACCAAGGACACCCGGTCAGCTTAAATTAACTGCTCCTGGATAACTAAATGGTTTCATGATATAAGCATGGCTGCCTGGAACCAAACTGTCATTGCTGGTGGACTTGCACTTTGGCCTACTGGCCACTGTGTTGTCTTTAGCAGATATTGCCCTCCCTTCCCACCACAGAATGCTCTTGTCCTCAAGAAGAGATCTGTTGTTAATTAACGATTCCTCAGCATATGTTCTACTGGAGTCAGTCTATGTCTAGCAAGAGTCTCTGGGACTTCTGCCTGTAATGGCAGTGACAATACAAAACTTTACCCAATCAGCTGGTGCTTCTGTTCCACTTACAAAGATAAGCTAGAGCTCTCCAGTCACTGCATCTAACTTGAGAACCATCACTAGCTACTTGGGGCAGCCATCTGGACATTATTGTGATTGTCCACCCTCATGGGGTGTCAAGGGGAGGCTCATTATGAGGTTTATGGAAAAGGAGAAGATCACCACCTTAGTGAGAATTAATCATGACACCGAAGTCACTTAATAAGAGTTGTTTGGGGGGCACCTGGGTGGCTCAGTGGGTTAAAGCCTCTGCCTTCGGCTCAGGTCATGATCCCGGGGTCCTGGGATTGAGCCCCACGTCGGGCTCTCTGCTCGGCGGGGAGCCTGCTTCCTCCTCTCTCTCTCTCTCTCTCTCTCTGCCTGCCTCTCTGCCTACTTGTGATCTCTGTCTGTCAAATAAAAAAATAAAATCTTTAAAAAAAAAAAAAAGAGTTGTTTGGGCAAGTATAGATACCTTGCCCATTTCCTGTGCTGCTGTTCCCCTTGCTGCTATCCCAAGTATACATTTCAGGCAACCTATGGACCAGGTACCTATGGACCAAACCTATGGACCAAAAAAAAAAAAAAAGAAGAAGAAGAAGAAGTGGAAAGAACATGGGGTACCAGGCTCTCCCCAAATAATGGAGGAGGTGACACAACTGCTGTTTCAATGAAACGTCCCTAGCCATTGTGCCTGGACTTGTCTTTGTGCTGCTGGCTACCAGCAGGCCAAAGGGTTAATCATCTAATCATGGGGCTTGACCACTCAACTAACAAACTGACTAGCAGTGGTAGTTGTTGGCCACATACCGAGCTTTTCTACAAACAGTCTCTCACAGACCCTGAGCATCTATTCTTCCATACCACGCTGGTCATTATGCTTTGGGTCAAGGAACCATCACTCACAAGATCTGCATAGTTATCAAGCCCTCCATTCTATAAGCTGGAGTCAAATCTGACCCTCTGACATATCCCATCTGCAGGAAGGTGTAACCTCACCTCTCCTCAGATCCTTGCTAGATACCACGGTGTTAGAGGAGGTCAACCCTCTCCCAGCCCCCTTAGCAACATGGAAAGCCCCATAGGAGCAAGTTAGTGAATCATTAATGGAGTTTATACACTTTATGGAACATATTGCCACCATTACATATGATGGAACCTGGTGGAATGTTCTGCTTTTTATTCCCTATCTAGGATGTCCCAGACAATGCAGGATCTAAGGATCAGCACAGTTGACCATATATCAGGCAGTCATCTTAGCACCAGATACCCTGGCCAGAAAATGGCTCCATATGTACATTTTTTTAAACTCTTAGTGTATTTTATAAGAA